GAACTTCGAGAGAGACATCACGACGGATGGTTGCTGAATTAACAAAGATTTAAAAAATGAAATATGTTACTAAAATTACATGTAATGTAATTGGTGGTTATGCATGATACAGGTACTGATACGAATAATGTGGCCTATTTTGTACCGTCGTTACTATTTGACATTTTAACATGAAAAAGTAGTTATTGTGTCACAACTGTAATATTTAAAAATATGGTATCGCAGACTTTTTTTGTAGATATTGATATCCTCTATAAAACTGAATACTTTGCTCTATAATCAATAGTTTCCGCAGCGTACGCGATATAAGGATTCTTTTTGGTATTTTTTTCACACCTTGGGTTACATTAACGAAGTTTTCAAACGGATCCCTAAGAATAGAATAGAATAGAATAGAATATTTTTTTATTCAATATACATTACATGTGTAATTCTTATTGAAAGTCATTTTTTACTTTACCACTGGTTCGAAAAAAAACCCTCTGTCCTGGGAAGAACCAGCAAGAAACCCAGCGGGACTTTTTTTTAAAATAAATTTTACAATATAAATGATTACGAACTATTTACAAAATTTATTTTAGAAACTGCTTGGAAGCGACCACCTCATTCCCAGGGGTTATTATCAACCATGTATTCATTTATACTATAATAACCCTTTTTATACAGTTTCAGCTTAATAAAACATTTAAACTTGGTAATAGAGAGAACCTGTACACTTTCCGGGACCTTGTTGTAATAGCGTATACATTGCCCCAAGAATGAATTACTGACTCTGTGGAGTCGAGAAACTGGCATCACTAGCTTGTGTTTGTTCCTAGTGTTTACAGAATGTATATCACTTTTTTTACTAAAACTATCTTTGTTTTTGTGAACATACATTAAATTTTCGTAAATATACTGAGAGGCCAAAGTTAATATATTAATTTCTTTAAATTTACCTCTAAGACACTCTCTCGGTTTTAGATTGTAAATAGCTCTAATGGCCCTCTTCCGTAAAACAAAAATAGTTTCTGCATCAGCCGCATTTCCCCATAGCAAAATCCCATAAGACATTATGCTATGGAAATAACTAAAATAAACTAATCTAGCTGTATCGACACTAGTGAGACCTCTAATATTTTTACAGCATAGGCTGCAGAACTTAGTCTGTTTGCTAATTTGGATATATGGGTGCCCCACTGGAGCTTTGCATCGAGAGTGATGTTAAGAAAAACAGTGGATTCAACAGGGCTCAGTTCTTCCCCATTTAAAAACACATTGGTACTCAGATTTTTAACATTCGTTGTTGTAAATTTAATACATTTAGTTTTATTTCCGTATAAATGTAGATTATTAACGTTAAACCAATGCACTAATTTTGATATAGCATTATTTACTTCGTCACATTTAAATGATTGACGTTTAAGTTTAAAAATCAAGGAAGTATCATCAGCAAATAATACTATATCATGACTATCCCCTACAAGGTGAGGTAAGTCATTAATATACACCAGAAACAGGAATGGGCCGAGAATCGAGCCCTGAGGAACACCCATTAGTACAGGTGACCCGGAAGAACTTTTACCATTGATAATAACCTTCTGTTTTCTATTACTTAAATATGAAATAATAAGTTTAAGTGCTGTGTTCTTGACACCATAGTACTGTAGCTTTCTGATTAATGTCTCATGGTGAACACAGTCGAAGGCCTTGGAAAGGTCACAAAATATACTCAAAGCATCCTCTGAATTCTCCCATGCACAAAAAATATGTTTAATAAGCACAACTCCAGCGTCAGTTGTCGAGCAACCCCTTGTAAAACCGAATTGATTTTTATGTAGCAATTTATTAATATTAAAGAAACTTAACATCTAATCTAAAATAATTTTTTAAACAATTTTACTTAATGTTGGTAGTACAGAAATTGGCCTAAAATTGGCGGGGTCTAATGTACTACCAGATTTAAATATGGGTATGACTTTACTATGTTTCATTAAATCAGGAAACACACCAGATTCGACGCTTATATTAAATATAGTGGCTAGATAAGGTGCTAATATATCTATTATAGATAAAATAACTTTAACGGAAATCCCCCATAAGTCTGCAGTTTTCTTAACATCAATAGTTTTAAAATATTTAACGATATCTTTTGGCAGTATTCTATGGAATTTAAAAGTATTTACCACAAGCCTTTACATTTTGTTTGAGCAATGATTAGGCGACAGTAGGAGAAGAATTTAATGATTTTGTTGTCAAAAAAGGAACGTCAGTAAAATGTTTCTCAAAATCCATAGCAACTTCTTGATCAGATCGCCTTAAATTATTTTAATATTCAATTGAAAATCCGAGTTGCGCGGTTTGACCTTGCCCGTTTCACTATTTATTATTCTCCAGGTCATTTTAATTTTTTCGGCTGCAGTTTTAATTTTGTTGCTTAAATGTAAAGCCTTAGCAGTGGAGCACACTTTTTTAAATATTTTAGAATATATTTTTACATAGTCACTAAATATAACACTACTATTTTATTATCTTTCATCATAAAGCTCGTATAACCTTTGCCTACTTTTATAAATTCCTACTGTCGCCCATTCATTAAATGATTTGCGACTGTTAAAAGAGAAAGTTTTAGAAGTAAATATTCTACTAAATTCACAACTTATAATTTCAAATAATGTAGCATACAAATAATTAGCACTATTTTTAAACGAAAGTGATGGAAGTCTTTTTATTATATTACTTCTAAACCTCTCCAAGCGATGTTCATTTATTGGAACACAACTTTCTTATTTTTCTGTTTTTTGTGTATGTAAGGTAGTGATACTAACTGTCCACAGTGATCTGAACTTAAATTTTGAGTAATTGATTTATGCAAGGGCTTAACATCTGTTAAAATGTTATCTATACAGGTCGCACTAGGCCCAGCAATACGTCTTGGTTCTAAGAATAAATTTACAAGATTATACGATTTAAACAATGAGGGAAACTTAATACTAATGGAAGAAGTTTTAAGGAGATTGATATTAAAGTCTCCACACATTACAACAGACTTGTTCTGTTTACTAAGCTTGAGTAAAACTTCTTCCACAATCCTTTCAAAATGGTCATAAGTAGCACATGGGGGTCTGTAAACACTTACAACAATGAGGTGCTCAAGCTCGACACAAGCCATTGCTACAGTTCGTTCAACAGAGAGGCTCACAATATCCTTACCTTCTTTATATAATAATGATTTATCTGCTAATATTAAGGAGCAACCACGTAAACTTTTTTCTCTATTGAAAGAACTGACCACCTGGTGATATCTGAAATTAAACATGAAATTATAATCTTTTAGCCAATGTTCAGTAATACAAAGAATGTGTATATTGTTACTATTTAAAAACAATTCAACTTCCAATTCTTTGCCCAACATGCCTTGTATATTTTGATGCACCAGGTGTAAAAAAAATTATTACATATTTGTGGGCTGTATTCAAAATTAATTAAACTCTTATTATTGCTAGAGATTGCCTCTATTGTCACATTCACTAATTTAAATTAGTTGGAACTGATTCAAAATTAAATGTCAAATGATTATGTTCAATAAAAGCAGTCTTGGTAGCCAAAAACTTGGTTAAGTTAAAAAGTAAATAATAAGATAGCACATTTGCTATCAGTCTTAAATTATATTTGGATAGGTCTTTTGTCCAAAACTTTTTTATTAAATTATTTATGTCAATCACATGAAATTTATGATTATTATCATTACAATTATATATCAAATTTAAATTATTATTATATATTAAATTATGCATTTGTATATTTAAATTATGTCTTAAATTATTTTCTTGTGGCAATCCCTGTATATAAGGCAGTGTGAACAAGACAATTTTAAGTTTTTTGAAAATATTGTATAGCCTATGTTCATCAGGGATAATGTAGGATTCTAATAGTGAAAGAATTTTTCAAATCGGTCCAGTAGTTTCGGAGCCTATTCGATTCAAACAAACAAATCTTTCCTCTTTATAATAGTAAAAAAAAATAGTGTAGATAGTGTAGATGTAGATGTAGATTATGACTTGCAGCTATTTTCTTATCTTTTTTTTTAATACTTATTTGCTTTTTTATACTATTTAAACACGATTTCTTTTCAAAACGCCCACACTAGATTTTATCTTGTATCGTAGAGGAATTTACAGGAGGAACAAACATTTAGATCTGGAACAATTATTTGTAGGTCGTATTAATATTTGTTCCGTGCGGGATTTCAACCTGCGGCCCTCAGCACCGCAACTCAATGCTAAGCTACTGTGCCACAGAGTCTGCAAAAGATAGATAAAAATGAAGACTGTTTTCGGCTACAGCGACCGTTTTTGACTCCTATATCAAAATCTTACTGCTCCGCCCGTTCATGTGCTCGCAAGTGACTAGCATAGCCGATCTTAGTGAGAAAAGTTCAAACACTTAGGGCAGGTGAGAACAGTAAATAGTATACATATTATATATATATATATATATATATATATATATATATATATATATATATATATATATATATATATATATAATATTACATATACAGTAATTATATGTTATAATTACTTACTAATTACTACATTATATTGCAGTTGGTTTAAGTTGGTTAAAGTTCCTCGCGATTAGGATCAAGATGTTTTGGCATCGCGTTTCGGCATCGAAAGGGTTGATATTTTGTTTTACAAGTCGCTTCAATTTTTGCCGGTCTTTAGCAAGGTGCTCCCAAGAAGAAGGCTCAATATTGAATTTTTTCAGATGCCTCTTTAATATGTGTTAGGAGCTGCTCACCTTGCTTGCGCTTGCCTTCATGAAGCTCACAGTACATGGCGCGTTTTGCAACTCTGTTATCAGCCATCCGAAACACATGACCACACCAACGCAATTGCCACCGCATCAGGAATGCTCCTATGCCGTAAATATTAGGTCGGCGTAGAACTTCTGTATTCCTGACAAGGTCGGACCAACGTATACGCATGATATTGCATGTGGGATCTATTCAGAATTCATATGTGCTTGCGATACAAGCACCAAGACTCAGAGGAATATAAAAGGTTTGGCAGAACAACCGCCTTTTGGTTAAGGAGATCATGTGAATGGAAAACCTTGGATCTTAATTTTCCGAAAGCAGCTGATGCAGCACGATCACATTTTGATGATATTAAGCGTCCCAAGTACTTAAACTTTTCTTCAGATTTCAGAACGCCCTGGTTGAGCTGGATCCGTAAAAGGTCAAAATGGGTGCCCGAAGCCATGACTTCAGTCTTTGTTACACTGACTTTAAGGCCAAATTTACGGCATGACTCAACAAGACTACTCATCAATATTTGTAAAGAGTTTGGGGAATCCGTCACAAAACACAAGTCATCTGCGTACATAATTTCCGTTATTAGACTTTGACCGCAGTCTATTTAAACTAAAAAGCTGGCTATCGGTGCGGTAACGAATACGTATGCCTTCCTGCAGAGTATGTAGAGCATCACTGACAACCAGATAGAGAGCAAACAACGTTGGCGCCAGGACACAACTATGCTTGACACTGCAGGTAACAGGGAAAAATTCTGTTTTTTCACCATTTACGGTACCGCAGCAAGTCTTTTCTTCATGTGGAAGCCTCAATATACGTATTTACTTTTCCGGACAACCCAGTTTAAACAAAGTCATCCATAATGCTTCGCGAGGTATACTATCAAATGGTTTCTTTAAATCGACAAATGGACATCGGCCGATGCTGCTCGTGACACTGCAGGTAACAGGGAAAAATTCTGTTTTTTCACCATTTACGGTACCGCAGCAAGTCTTTTCTTCATGTGGAAGCCTCAATATACGTATTTACTTTTCCGGACAACCCAGTTTAAACAAAGTCATCCATAATGCTTCGCGAGGTATACTATCAAATGGTTTCTTTAAATCGACAAATGGACATCGGCCGATGCTGCTCGCGACTTCTTTTGACGAACGCAAAAGATACCTTCACAAGTACTCCTTCCCGGACGAAAACCAAATTGAGTTTCTGGTAACAACGCTTTCGAAATAGGAATGAGTCGGTTGAGCAGAACCTTATCAAATACTTTTCCAATAAAAGTATTTGTACGGTTTTATAAACGGAGCAACAGAACGCTTTAACGATATGGCCTCAACGAGGAGCGCTATGTATGCAAGCGCGTTATTGGCGCAATTCTACCGGTCTTCAAAGCCTAGATTCAGCGGCAAATAGGAAGTCTCACCTACAGACTTACACAGATAATTCCTGGGCACAGGTGCTTCGGTCATTACCTGTGTAAGATTGGACTCGAAGCGACGGCGAACTGCTTTCACTGCAGTGGGCGGGACCAGGACTCCACGTCCCAAACGTTTGCGGCTTGCCCAGCATAGAATCGGGAGCGGACGATCCTGGCGAGCCGGGTTGTCCAGAACCTCTCCCTGCCAGCAGCCGTTTGCTGATACTGAACGGGGATTCGGCGTAGAGAGCCGTAGCCACCGTCTATGAGTCCGTAATGGTCCAGAAAAAAGCTGCTAAGCGGGATCGGAAGAGGAGATATATCACTCAGAGACGACACCGTCAAGACATTCGTCACGGCCCTCCCCTTGAAGACGGTGTTCCCCTACCGGGAACGGGGCCTCTGGGGTTGCGGGCGTTTAAGGCGAGGGCCCCGAATGCCTAGTAATGTAATTCCCGAGGAGGAGGATGGTTCGGAAGTGGTCCCGAGATATCGTAATAGCACTGAGAGGGTGCTGGGGGAGTAAATATTGGCCCGGGATGTGCTTCCTATAAAGCAAAGCGAGAACGGAGCCCGTGTTGCGGTACCAAACGGAGATCCCGGGACCTCTCGTACATGCTGATAGAGACCACAGTGGGGTTTTAGCTGGTGTTAACCGTTAGAATAGAAATTGCACTGATTGAACTCCGTTTTTGTAGTAATCGCGACACTTCTACTTGAAATAAAAATAAAAAGAATTTAATTTGGAATCGCTACTTAATTTACCTACAGTGAGAGAAAATTAGTCTGGCCCACCAGGAAGGGTGAATGAAATAGGTAAACTCACGGTTAGCGGCAGCGGCGATCAACTTCAACTTGGCTTCAACAATATCTTCGGATGAGGAAGGTTTCAGTCTTCCTTGACCATACTCCTACGTGATTATATAGTCTATGCACACAGCTGGGTCGACCCGGCACACTCACTAACTCTTAATTACATTGATTTTATTTTGGAAGGTTTAGACAAGAACAGCCATTACCGATGCAGTTCGTCTTGAGTCTTGATTACATGTGTGTATCGATCGCGTCGACTTCTCTTGCAGACGCTTTTGTTGTAGGCCAACAGATGGCGCCATAAGTTTTGTTTTGCATATAATTGGAAGGAAGGATGCGATAGAAAAGTAAGGAAGGCAAGCCAGTACAGCTGGTAAGAGTCCGGCATAACCTCTTGGTTGCTCCCGCTGCCAAAGGTATACATGAGAGTTTCATCAAGAAAAAAAAGGTATCCATAGACTGTGGAAACCATTTATTACGAGATAGAAAGTAGGGTCGTTCGTCACTTCAGATTAAAAAAAAAAAACATGTGTGCATTTCACACACGGTAGAAGTAATACCTTCAGAAAAGCACTACATACTGGATTCTATTTTTAGTATATCAATGATCTCATTCTATTGCAGGCTAAATTAAATAGACTTTTTCGTTTCTTCGAGTTTCAAATCACAACGGTTCTAAAGAAGTTTTCACTACAAAAATATTTTTCTGTTTCTGTTTTGATCTGTTTTCCTTTTCTATCATTGCATAGCAAATTTATTAAATACAATAAAGTTTAAATGTTGCAGTGCTGACAGCTGCCTTTTAGCATTAGTGTTAAAAGTTATATTTATGTGCGAGAAAAAATATAGTGGTTCAATTTTGCGCAATATTGGATAAAAGATGAAATAAATTTATCCTCAAAACATTAAACGTATGTCGGGGTGATATTAACGTAATCGTTATTGGATCGCTAATATATTTCTGTGGAACGTCGCGTTCGAAACAGTACTTTAGGTCACGATAATTGCCAATAAATCATGGAGGTCACTAAACTATCTGGGAGGAGCAATAGAAAACTAGATTCATTGATCGTCTACTTGGTCTAGTAAAGAGATACCTACTCTATAGAGGATATAAATGAGGACAGAAGAACAAAAATACAGAAAGAAACCATTCAATTACCGCTATGTTCACAATGAACGAAATTAAACGGCGCCGAAGCTAAATTGAATCTTCCACTATGTGTGAAAGTGAAGTTCAATGAGTTTGAACGAGAATCAAAGTTTTACAGGCAAACGGTGAAATGCACTGGGTAAATGATTCTGACTTTGTGATCATTTGGTCTTTTGTATAATTTTCTCGATTTATTTTCAGATGTTCCAAGCTAAGAACTATATTATATATTTGTTATTTATAAAAAGTTAAACTTTTAAACTTTTAGTTTTAGTTCCTTTGTGAAGGTTGGTTAAAAACCAAACTACTCAAAGGAACTAAAAATAAAAAAAAAATGCACGTAAAAGATTATAAAGTAGTAGTTAGACATTGTGTGTCGTAGGTTTTTCTTAGTAATGCCATAAAGCACGATTGCCAGATAACTTCATGGATTCTTACTAGGTTAGCATTTCATCTAGTGAGCGTCCGCCCGACGAAGGACAGACGGAGGGACCATGATGGATTCCGTTATTGCGCCACTACACGCCACAGCTTATTTATTCTGTGACAGCGTTCGTATGTAGGTGTTATTAAATAATTATTGATGACGATAAGTGGGCTGGCCGATTGCAACTACGGCTATATTATGTATTAATGAATACTATTGAAAGCTATGATGTGGTATTGAAGATGGTAAAGTGCACTAACGTAGCTTAACAAAATCCTATTTAAAAAAATCATCTGGTCACTTTCATCGGGCGTGGAATTTAGACGAAGAGACGTACCAGTTATGTGTATTTATTTAAGAACTATTTAGAGATATTTATTGGTCCCATATAACTCAACTATTGTTAGATCTACTTTTAAATGCGTAGTAGCTGCAGCTATATTATAGCAGAAGCACGAATGGGTCAGCTCAACTGGGGTACGGCCACGCTCTCACAAAATATCCGCATGAAATAGCAGCTTAATGATGTTTTATTTGGAAACAAGGCATTCCATTTTAGTACTCAAGTGTGACAACGTATCTGCATTTTGATTCTTAATTGAGGATAGATGGAGATGTCTGTGGGCCACAGCATTTACTTACTATCAGGTGCACTATGTGCTCGTTTGTCATCCTTATTCTATACAAAATAAACTTAATAAGCACCCCGTGAATACGTAGAATATTTCTATCCGTTTCAAGAACATCGTAAATTCCTATAGATCTACTAATTTTTAGCTAATACTGTGGAGCTTGGCACCCTTTCAGATCTTAACTCTTTTATGGGCAAAGCCGGAAGCCCTGAATTCCGTTTATTGAAGGCCTAGGCCCACATTTTACATTTATGTTTTTGATGGGATATTTTCATTAAACTTAAATGGAATCAAAACCGGTTCACAAAGAGCGGAGAAATCGTGTAACATACATACGAAAAACAAATAAACGATCGAAATGAGTGGCCGTTTCTTTTTGAAGTCAGATTAGAAATATATGATTCATAAACCAATAAACAAAAGCTTGTCGATCAACTATTAATAGAGTGTTTTTGATTTATGATCCTATAGTTCTGCTTCTGTGAGTGTTTATTTATTCTAACTCGGCCTTCTGGGAAAGGCGAACCTGTTAAACAAGATTAATAGTCTATCATGAATATTATCTTCATACGGGTTGCTTTTGCCAGATGCCAAATATTAGATGTGATATATTGCCATTTCTATGCAACCGTTGTTCACAAAGAGTGAATGTTCCTGTTTATTGGGTTCTGTATCTTGATTGTTTTATAAAATTCAAGCTGTTCCCCTTTACTTTGTCGGCGTGGAATTTGTTTTCCTAATAATTTTTTTGCCAGTTAAAGTCGGTTAAAGTAAAAAAACAGAATAAGATTTTTTTTTGCTTATTATAAGCCAGTGCTTGACCATAGTTCAACCTGATGGTAAGTGGTGATGCAGCCTTAGATGGTAAATCGCACTGACTTTGCGTAGTAAAAGCCTCACTCTTGCTTTGAAGTCGCCCAGACTGTATTCGAATGGAAAGATAGACGCCGGCAAATTATTCCACTCCTTTGCTGTACGCATTACAAAAGACGAAGCAAACCTTTTGGTTCTAATGCGTATGAATATCGAAAACAAAGGATGGAAGCCGCCCGACCGCCTGGTTGTACGATGGTGAAAAAGAAAAGGGAGGAATTAAAGCGTGTAATTCCTGCGCACCCTGAAATGCATCCTA